CAGAATTATGCAAGACTGTTTCCAATTTTACCTAAAAAATTACACCAGGACATAAATATACAGACATGTACAAAAGCAGATGTATAAGATAGTCCTTGACTTACAACAGTTCATTTAATGACCATTCTAAGTTACAATGGCACTGAAAAAAGACTTAATGAGCGTTTTTCAGAGTTACGACCTTTGCAGCATCCCCATAACGTGATCAAAATTAAGATGCTTGACTCATATTTATGACAGTTGCAGTGTCCTGGGGTCATGTGATCGCCTTTTGCAACCTGACAAGCAAAATCAATGGGGAATTCCAATTCACTTAAAACCGTGTTACTAACTTAGCAATTAGTGATTCACTTAACTGTGGCAAGGTCATAAAATGGGGCAAAACTCACTTAACAAATGTCTCAATGAACAATATAACTTTTGGGCTCAATTGTGGTCATAAGTCAAGGACTACCTGTATACTTCTTTGAGGTTGCCTGCATTCATTTAATCCTGATTTCCAGTTCCTTTCCATTCATCATTTATTGGAGCTCATTACAGAGTACTCTTCAACTCTTACAATTTTTTTTTCTCATAAGATCCAGCTGTTTTCAAAGGAGATGGGGAAGGAGGAAATATAGGTCTCAGTCTCTGACAAATCCTATTAATCCTCAATGTTTTGATTATGAGAGCAATATGAAAGAGTCCAAAGGAGGATTCAGACCAGCTTTTCCTAAACTGAAATCCTTTAACTTGATGGGCTGTAATTGCTATCAAATAGCTGATGTGGCTAAAATTAATAGAAACTTGGAAGGAACAACTGGAGAGCTAGGATGAGGGATTGATTAAGGTGTTGGACAAGTAGGGAGATGTGCGTTCAAGTCCATCCTCTGCCCGAAGTATTAATTTGGTGACTTTGGATCAGCTATCTCCTCTCAGTCCAATTTAAGATTGTTGTGATGGAGAAAACCCTCTTATGAATCATTCCTCAGTGAAGCACTTTCCAGACCAACCTATGTTTCTCAACCTTGGCAACTTTAATATGGACTTCAACTCCCAGAATTCCCCAGCCGGCATGGAATTCTGGGAGTTGAAGTCCATTCATATTAAAGTTGCCAAGGTTGAGAAACACTGTGTTAGATTGAAGATTACTCCCAGGAAGTTCTTTAAAAAGAAGGGGGAGCATAAACAGCAAGACATCTTTTTTTCCCCTCCTGGCATGTCATGTCACCACCTCCAAAGAGTATAATTATGCAGAAGCTAAAAAAGGTTGGGAAAGTTGATAAGAATTTGCACCATTTATTTCAGTGAGGTTCTTGTAACAAAGATTATTTCCACTGAGGCTTTTTTTTCCCTTAGGTGGACTAATTAAAAAAAATCAGTTATATAATGAATTATTATTACAGGCATCTATTTGTATTTGTTGTTCCTACTAGCCCAATATATTATTTGCATGTGTATTATCTTTAAGATACATCTTAATAAAGTGAAGTAACTACTTGTATAAATATCACCCAAGCATAGCCTAAGGCTTGTGGAGTGCAACCAAGATAAAAACATGACTTTTGCTTGTTCAGAAACAAAACAATTATTTCACATATTCAGTGCCTTTAATAGTGTTTGTCTTCCCTCTTTCAAATTCTTTCTTGTATTTTTTACAAGAAAGTGAGCTTCAGGAATCAGACTGTCATATTCGTAAAACAATTTAGAACGTTTTGTTTTAATCTGAAAAACGGTGCCTTCATGTATTTTCCAATTCTATCATTTCACAAAAGTTATTTGGAAAACAATAAGGGAAAGATGGGATTACTGAATTATTTTGATTACCTTAGTACTTTATTCATTTTTGGCTCACTTGGACAAATGCCATTGCAACTTTAAATAGTCACTAAATGAATGCTTGTAAATTGAGGACCATATGTACTTATTGTTCAAAGTTTTATTGACTTTTAATATTTGTAAGCTGCCCAGAGTCACCTTGGGGAGTTTGCCAAGATGGATGGCAAACAAATCTAATAAACAATTTTATTTGTATCTGCCTGCTTGATTGCCATTTTGGAATCAAGTGTTAGCATTGTATTTTACTTGATCTGAAAATGATTCAGTGACCCATTTCTGCTTTGATAACTTCAGAGTTTTGGTACTTTTCTTTAAAGCTCACATACTGTATTCACCGGACATTCTCTAATCGTTAACTGAAGTTTGCATCTGAAACCATCTTTGCTGACAAATCTTAAGGATCTTTTTAAATATCTCCTGGAATGGCCCCTCTCCCCAAACTACGCGCTCATTTATTCTGATTCAGGAAAGGTGTTTTTCGAACCAAGTCTGTTTTTAAAACTTTTTAAATAATTCTGAAATGCCTTAAGCCACTCTTTGTCTTCCATTTATTATTTTAATCTGCTATTATTTGCTGGCTTTTGAAGGAGTGTTTTTCTTTAGATCATTATGGGAGACTATATAATGACAGCCACAGGAAAGAAATTTAAATATACATAAATATGCTTAACCTATTCTGCTACGTGGGATAGCAAAAAATATAGTGGGTAGCATAATTGGAAGCAGAAAAAAAATATTACAGCTACCTTTTTGAGTATTAGCATTCTACAAAATTGAGAAAATTCTTAACATAATGGCAGTTGGGGAATTCTGAGAATTGGTCCACGCATCTTAAAGTTACTGAGGTCAAGAAAGATTAGTTCAAACATATTCACCATTTATAGCCCTACTGATGATACAGAACAGTCTGCTCCATGGCTATAGTGACTAACTCAAGTATCATGAGCTTTGTGGTTTTCAAGCAATATGTTGTATTAATCAGCTGTATGGTTTCCTTCAATAAATTCAGGTAAAATAAATTACAGGCAGTCCTTGACTTACAACCATCTGTTTAGCGACTGTTCAAAGTCACAACGGCACTGAAAAAAACCTGACTTGACTAGTCCTCACACTTATGACCACTGCAGCATCCCCACAGTTGCATGATCAAAATTTAGGTGCTTGGCAACTGGCAGGTATTTACAATGATTGCAGCAACCCAGGGTCAGATGATCATCATTTGTGATCTTCCCAGTCATCTTCTGACAAGCAAGGCAGCAGAGGAAACTGGATTTGCTTAACGATTGCATGATTCACTTAACAACTGGGGTGATTTGCTTAACAACCATGAGAAAAAGGTCATAAAAATCAGATGCCGCTCGCTTAGCCACAGAAATTCTGGTCCCAGTTGTGATTGTAAGTTGAGACTCCCTGTATGGCTATTGTACTGTGTGAGCTGGTGCCGGCTGAGACCCAAAATAAACCACGGACATAATCGAGACTTGCAATGTTCATGACTTGAGGCTTCCCATTTACAGAGCTACTGGCCTTACTTGGGGCTTGGGGAAACAAGCTAAATAACACACAATAAGCAGCCTTCTACAACAGGCTTAATTGGCACAGTTTATTCAGGTTAGCCTAGTGTGCATTTTTTTTTAAAAGATATTGTTTTCAATTTTTATCCAAGCAGAGTAAGTGTGGCCTTTCAAACAGTCTCTATAATAGAAAATCGGTAAGGCTGTTCTTCAGAGCATCAGAGCTTAACCAAAGTATTGGAGAAAACAAGTGCGATCTTGGGACATTTTGTGTCTCCTGCAGAAAGCTAAACAGGGACCCAAATATAAAGCTCCAGGAAATGTAAAAATTCTATATGCATGCTAACAAAATAAGCTTGCTTCAGTGATCAGATTCCTGCCCGGCGGCTCAGCAAAACCTTGCTCTGGAATTTCTTCAGGTGCATAGCTTGTTTTGCTTTGCAATCAAACATCGGCCACTATTAGAAAGCAAATTATTTCTCAGGATCAAGGGACAAGTGTTAAAAAAAAATCTCCTCTCAACTTCTTTATCATTGCTGTATACTAGGTTACATCCATGTCCTGCTTCACTTTTTCAGCTACTCTACAGTGTTTCTCAACCTTGACAATTTTAAGGCATGTGGACTTCAACTCCCAGAATTCCACAGCCAGCATTGCTGGGTGTGGAATTCTGGGAGTTGAAGTCCACATGCCTTAAAATTGTCAAGGTTGAGAAACACTGCTCTAGAAGCTCCTGAAGAATTGAGGTGAAGAGGAGAGGGAGAGAGAGACTGATACAAAGCCAGTCTTTTGTTTATTTATTTACTTTTCGCTCAATGGGACAAGCCCCATCAGGCCTCTCTACCTGTTCTCTATTGTACTTGGTCATTGTAACCTTCCCTGTCAGAAAAGAAGGCTGAACAGAGAAATCCACCCTTTAACTTAGATTGTTGTTTCTCAACCATGGCAACTTTAAAATCTGTGGACTTCACTTCTTAAAGTTGCCAAGGTTGAAAAATACTGACCTAAATTTCACACCAGAAACAAGGGTAGGAATTTGGAGATGAACTCAAGGTGCCAAAGAAGCCGATTCAAGGCCAGCTCCTTGCCAAAGTTAGCCTGTTCCATGAACGAGGAGCCAGAATTACCTCTCCAACCTAATCTATGTCCCAATTTGACAGATCAATCATTCTCTTTTCTTATATACTGGTCTTTGCAACCGGACCTGAAGGAACTAGCTACGTCCAACAGCTGTTACCACACTCCGTACAACTATAAGGCCCTTCCCCCAGAGCCAAGTCATCTTGGTTGGGTTTTCGGGGGCTAGACTCCAGGTGAAAACCTTTACCACAGTGGCCACAGATAAGAAGCCGGTCGCCCTCTTCTTCATCAGAGCTATTATTGCCATTGGTAACACCGATATCAGCACACAGAGTTTCACGACCAGTCATGAGCGGCATCCCAACGCTTCCATCGTGGTGGCCCTCGATGCTACCATCCTCAAAAGCCGGGTCAACCTCGCAGAGGAGGTCATGGCTCATGCTGGGGCTGCGAGCGTTGGTGTGAGTGCGACGGTGGCGAATGATGTGCGAGCTGAGCCGAAAGCTCTTCCCGCACTCAGTGCACACGTAGGGCTTTTCCCCCGTGTGCACCCGCCAGTGGTCCACCAGATTGGAGTGGTGGGTGAACCTCTTGCCACACTCAACACAACCATAGGGTTTCTCACCCGTGTGGGTACGCCGGTGGTTAGCCAGCGTGGAACTCCCCGAAAAGCGCTTCCCGCATTCCTGGCATTGGTACGGTTTCTCTCCGGTGTGAGTCCGCTGATGGCGAGTAAGGCATGAGCTCCCAGTAAATCGCTTACCGCACACGCTGCACTGGTAAGGCGTAACCCCTGTGTGGCCGCGCCGATGCAGGTTGTAGTTGGAGCTCTGGGAAAAGGCCTTGCCGCACAATTCACAACGATAGGGCCGTTCCCCGGTGTGGAAACGCCGATGCTGGAGGAGGTTGGAACTAGCTGTGAAGGCCTTGCCACAGTCCCCACAGACATAGGGGCGCTCCCCGGTGTGCGTCCGCTGGTGCTTGGTGAGCGCCGAGCTCTGGTTGAAGCTGCGGCCGCAGTCATTGCAACGGTACGGCTTCTCTCCCGTATGGATGATCTGGTGCTTGGCCAGGTTCGAGCGGCGGCTGAAACTCTTCCCACACACGCCACAAGTGTTTGGGTGCAAAGAGGAAGACTGCAGGAATGGAGAAGAAAGCGTGGAGGAGGGTTTTGAAAAAAAAAGGACACACCTGCCTAGACCTCGTTCTGAAATGGGTGCTCAGGAAAGTGCAGCTTATTTGTGCTCCATCCTTTCCACAGTGGCATTTTTGCCAAGCACTGTAGCTAACTGAATTTCTACAAGCAGGGACTTCTGCAGAAAAGGGTCAAAAAAGAATTAAAATGGCACCTGCAAAGGCACAATCAACTTTTTACAGGTAGTCCTCGACTTGCAACCATTCGTTTAGTGACCATTCAAAGTTACAACGGCACTGAAAAAAGTCACCTATGACTAGTTTTTACACTTATGACCGTTGCAGCATCCATGTGGTCATATGATCAAAATTCACATGCTTGCAACAGGCATGTATTTATGATGGCTGCAATATTCTGGGGATCATGTGATCACCTTTTGCGACCTTCTGACAAGCAAAGTCAGTGGAGAAGACAGATTCATTTAACAACCAAGTTACTAACTTAACAACTGCAGTGATTCACTTAACAATTCTGGCAAGAAAGTTAGTAAAATGATACAAAACTTGCTTAATAGCTGTTTTGCTTATCGAGGGAAATTTTGGGCTCAGTTGTGGTTGTAAGTTGAGGATTACTGTATGGGCATTCTTGTGGTCACCATCTTGACTTTTAACATTCCTCCCCTCAGAATAGGGAAAGATGACCCCGTCTACAAGTTCATTTTTGTTTTCAATTGTACAATGGAAATTCAAATCTCTTTGGTGAATAGAAGCCTCTAGGAAAGAAGGTTGGAGTGCTACTCTAGAAAACCTCACATGGAGAATTATTTTTTTTCCTTCTTATCACTTTAATTATCGGCCACCAACTCTATCCTGAGGTAGGGAAGCAAACTTTAGAATTTCTTTCTCAATCAGCCCAGGAACTAATACGTGCTACGTTCTGCTCAACATCCAAGATAAAAACTTAGGCTCAACTTTTCCTAATATGTGGGCCTCTCATACATTCATTTATTATTATGCGTGGATCAGAGACGCCTAAAAGGGCAGGGTCAAAAAATTCAAGATGGCAGCTACAACCACAGTTGAAGCTCCGCCCATTTTCAATATGTCATGTGCATATGTCATGGGCTTTGGTTGCATAGTCATTGCAGCCATCTTGACATTTTTGACTCCTCCCACATGGATGCTTCTGGTTAGTATACAAGAGGTGGGTGAATCCAACAGGCACAGGAAAAAAGAACTAAAAAAAAATCTAAGTAACATCGGCTGGGAATTCTGGAAACAGCAATTCTGACCCATCTTAAGGATACCAAACTTGGAAGTTGATTTAAGGGAGTTTTACCAGTGCTTCAGCTCTCTGAAGTGAAACACGCACCTAGCCAAATTTTCTTTCAAAGACTGGGGTAAAATATGCTCTGTGTGACAGGTACGTGAACCATGATACAGCTAGATCCTGGGAACTCTGCTACATTTAGTCCTGATGCATAGCTGTGGAACTATTTCATCAAATAACCAGAAAGCAATGCTGTTGCAAGGTTCAGCCAAAAAGTTATCTTCAGGGTATAGGTCTGGACCTAAAGGAGAACCTCATATTCCCAAGACTGCTGAACAAAGCTCAGGGAAAGTTTCAACAATTCCTCAAGATATAGAATTATAGAATCATAGGGTTGGAAGAGATCTTGGAGGTTTTCTAGTCCAACCTTCTGCTCAAGGCAGAAGTCCTTAAATCATCCCATCTCTTGAAGTTCCCACAGTTGCACTTCTTTACTACTCACCGAACCCTCTATTGGGATGGTGACTTTCTGCACCTCAAATTCTTGTACCTTCTGCTCCTCTGTTTCCACCTTCATCTCTTCCTGGGTTGAGGAACCTCGTGAAGGTGCAGGGCCCAGCTGGTTTGAGCAGAGACAAAACAATCCAAATAATAACAATCTTTAAAGAACTATTTCTTTCCTTACAAGCTGGTTCTTCCACCCATCCAGTTAAACGTTCAATGTTTCTATCTTCCTTGTCTCCACTCACCAGTTTTCCACCTGCAGAAATTTCCATCTCAAATTCCAGATCTGCTTTCTCCTTTTTTTCAGTCTTTACTCTAATCGATCGCTTTTCTTCATTACCATCCACTCTGGCAGGCAATCTATCCCGAAAGGAGGAAGAATCCAGCTGGGAAAGCCAAAGGAGCAGAACAAAAGATTCAGCATTTACCTTAGGTTCAGTTTGTTCCCAAACACAGAGACAGACACATCTTACAACCAATCTTAAAAGTGAATGTCAACAACATATTTCAGTTTGCAAGTTCCTCATGCAAATGCATACAAGAATTTACACAGTGAGATGTGTAATCACTAGGTTGTAAATTGCTACAACTAAGTGTCCACAAGGAATTCTGTGAATTGAAACACGACAACATGAATGCTAAACACTCAGCAAGTCAAGCCTATTTATTTCAGATTAGATATATGTTCCAATTACATTTCACAGGGAAGGCATTTGAAATACCAAATGTGATTCATATCACAACTTCTAAAAGCCTGGTTTTGTTTCTTTTCTGCACTCATTTTCTCAAATGAGTGGTCTCCAGTCATGCACAAGGCATTTGTCACCCTAAACCTAACCATGCTTTTAGTAATCACATTACAGCCAAGAAAAATATGCCTATTTCAGATCCAGCTGATTCCTTCAAACTTCAGGAAAAAACACATAGCTTCGTCCCTAGAAATTTTGGCTTTGTGCACCTTGATCTCTCGTATCCTTTCCACTCCCTTCTTCAGTCTAGCACTCAGTCCCAAGGATTCCCAGGACTTGCCCTCACCTTTCACCAGTGGTCCATCCATCTGAAAAATACAGAAAGGAAGAAAGGGAATCTATTAAAAAGTTAGGCATAGATCCAAATTAGATATCAAAATATTCTAAGAACCTCCTATATCCTACTTGGCTTCTCCTATACTAGTAGTCAGAGTAGAAAGAAATATAAGATGTTTGGCATTTTTAAATTGGGTGTGTGGGAGGAGATGTTCAGGGTTCAGGGTTATTTATCTTGCTCCCATCTTCATCCACTGTGGGAGCTTCTAGAACAGGTCAGGCAAAAGTAAATGGATTTTGGAGAGAAACCAGATTAAAAGCAATCTTCCTCTTTAATATAGCTGCTGGAAAGCAACTAACTTGTCAACTGCCAGCCATCAGTTTCTCTGCAATAGCCCCATGAAGTCAATGAGGCCATAATAAAGACAGGACAAAAATCACATCCATAAACAAAAAGTGAAATTTTGAGTATAGCACTCAACGCTCTCCCACAAATTGGCTGCATCCTTGAAGAAAGTCCAGACTTTTGTTAAATCCTTAGCATCACCCTTGTTCCCAGAAGGACCTAAAGACAATATGGTATCTCCATGGAGGATGCAAAGTAGGACCCCAAGACTTAGTCCTGTCTGAATTGTGATCCCTAGAAAATAAAGGAGGTTGCCTGTACAGGTAGTCCTCGACTTACAACAGTTCATTTAATGACCTTTCGAGGTTACAACGGCACTGAAAAAAGTGACTTATGACCATTTTTCACAGTTACGACTGCAGCAGGCATCCCCATGATCACATGATCAAAATTCAGATGTTTGGCAACTGGTTCATATTTATGACCATTGCTGTGTCCCAAGGTCATGTGATCACCTTTTGCAAACTTCTGACAAGCAAAGTCAATGGGGAAGCCAGATTCACTTAACAACCGTGTTACCAACAACTGCTAGTGATTCACTTAACACATGTGGCAAGAAAAATCGTAAAATGGGGCAAAACTCAACCAATTTCTCACTTAGCAACATAAATATTGGGCTCCATCGTGGTGGCGTTAAGTCAAGGACTACCTGTATTTTTTTAAAAAAAGGAAATCAATGTCAGGAAGGAAGGCTTCTTCCCAGGGGTTCAAAGAGGCACGGGAGCTCCCAGATTGACAGATTGAACCCAGGAGCCCCTGACCCCAGCCCCATCGCTTGGCTGTCTGACACTCACCTGAAGGCTTAGCCTTCATTCCACAGCTGGGGCGAGAGGGGGGCTGGGGTGGGGACCCACAGCAACAGCTGCTTCTCCAGCCCACGTGGGTGTCTTTCCTTTCCAGGCGATCTTTCTTTCTGCGCGCAGCACCCGGAGAGTTGGGGAGGCTGAAACTGGGTGGAGGGGGAGGGGTTGGGCTGAAGCCGGCGACCCGAGAGAAGGAGATCGGGACCACTCGGGATAGGACGTTGAGCGAGAGGACGCGATTGCTTCCTGCGATCCGGCTCCCCCGGACCTCTGGAGGGGAGAGGAGAGCAGGGGGAGATCTTCGCCGATGCTGGGGAACAGGGCGATGGGGGGGAGGAGGGCGGGAGGAGAGAGGGGGAAGAACCAGGCAAAGAAGATCCGAAGGATCCCCGCCCCGCCCTAGGCAGCCGCCCCAAAGCCCGCGCGATCCACCCGTCCTTTCGAAGTAGCGACCCTGCCTCAAGGGAGGGGGAGGCTCCGAGGGGGACGGGAGGAATGCTGGGCGGAGGGGAGGGGGGAGAATGACAGAAGGAGGTCGCTTCGTGCAGATTGGCTAAGGCGGCCGGCCCCCCTCCTCCTGCTTTGTAATTGGCGGAGAGAGTGATTGGCTGCGGACAGACAGGAGCAACCGCTGGAGAGGCGCCGACCCGAGCAGGGGTTTGGACGGCCGAGTTCTGGTCCCGCCCACTCCCCCTCCTCTTCCTCCACTAAGCCCTCCTAGAGTCGGGAACCGCGCCGCGCGTTCGCCGGGACCTCCCCGTCGCTTTAACGGAACGCGCGGCTGGAAAGGGGAGCGCATCGAGGTCGGGATCCCCCTTGGGATAGGATAGGACTCTATTGGCCAAGTGCGATTGGCCACACAAGGAATTTATCTGCGGTGCATAAGCTCTCAGTGTAGGTACAAGCAACAAGGGATAAATCATGATCATAAAATACAATCATCATAAATCATAAGGTAATCCTAAACCATAAAATAAATCATAAGGAAGGTCGGGAAAGAAGCAAGGGATTAGCGCAGAGAAAGGCTGCCCTGAAAATTCCCTGCACGGAGTCAGGCTGGAGTCTTGATTCCCACGGTTGAGTTCCATACCACTCCAAGAGCGTTTTGCCGCACTGAGAAGCGACGGTTTCCATTTGCTCCGCAGATATCAGGTTTCATGCCTCTAGTACAGTGTTTTTCAAACTTGGCAGCTTTCAGACGTGTGGGTTTCAACTGTCAGCCTGTTGACTGGGGAATACTGGGAGTTGAAGTTCACATGTCTTTTAAGATTGCTCTTGGAGTGATCACTATACAATAGTGCTCCAGAGAGGGCATCTTGAAGAGAAACCTACAGCTGAGAAATAAATGCTATTTACCGTTGTTGCAAGTAACAGGCTTGTGAAATAGTTTGTGTAATAAAACACTTGTGTGTTTCCAATGCAAAGATGCTCACAGAGTACATCAAAAAAGTTAAAAGTCAGTGGGGAAGCCAGATTCCCTTAACTGTGTTATTAATTTAGGGCAAAACTCATTTAACTGTCTTGCTTAGCAACAGAAATGTTGGTCTCAGTTGTGATTGTAAATCAAGAACTTGTAATCCTCAACTTACAACAGTTGATTTAGTGACTTAAAAGTAACAACAGCACTTAAAAAAATGACTTATAACTTATTTTTCACCCTTAATGATCTTTGCAGCAGCAGTCCCATAATAATGTGATCAAAATTCAGATACTTGGCAACTGGTTCATACTTATGACTGTTGCTATGTCCCAAGGTCATGTGATCACTTTTTGCAAGCAAAATCAATGGGGGAGCCAGATTCACTTAGCAACCATGTTACTAAGTGCAGTGATTCATTTAACTGTGGCAAAAAAGGTCAAATGGGCAAAACTCACTTAACAAATGCCTCACCTAACAACAGAAATGTTGGGCTCAATTGTGATCGTAAGTCAAGGATCATCTGTGTTCAAGCACACCTACTATCTACAAAGAAACAGGATGTTGAATTGGAAGGGATCTCAAAGGTCATCTAGTCCAACCCCCTGCTCAGCACTGGAACCCACAAAGTATACCTGACAGTCATTCAGACCCTTTGTACAAACCTCCTGCCAGAGGGAGTCCATCTTTTCAAAGAGTAACGAGACGGAGAAAGCACCGGGCCTTTAAATCTTCACTTTCTGGCCCTCCCCTCAAATGGCGGCGCCCTAAACGGCGCCATCTAGAATCTGCCTTATTCCAAAATGGCTACCGATTTTAGATGGGGTGCCTTATTTTGATAGCCTCGCTTTTTTTGCCCATCCCCAAAATGTTGGGCCTATTGACTTCAACATCCCGTTGACTCGAACTAAGAGAGTGGTTATAATGTTTTTCTTGCAACGCAATGTCTAGTTTCATTTTTTTCCCGTTTTGGCCATTGAGCCGGAACTGACAAGGTTGACCCTGTTAATAATGATAAAAAACACGCCTCTGGAGCCGAACGAAGCGCTGCCGGTGAGGCAGTGACGTCACCGAAGCGTGGACCCTTTTAAAAAAATGGAGAAAATTCGGGACAAGATAGGTATATTTTCACTAACTTTTGGGAGACGGGAAATCAGTCCCGAGGGGATGGGAATGGAACTAAATTGAAATGGGTTCTTTAAGGCTTTACTAGGTTTAAAAACCACCCATTCTATTTCTAAAGACACGCCTCCTGAACCCCCAGCACCGCCCTTCCCGACCGGGCTCTTCGGCGCCACATACAGGCCTTGACTACAAATTGCCCACCACTTTTGCCCTAAGTAATGATGGTGATTCTTGAGCCGCCATCGGAGTAAAAAAACAGGAAGCCATTGGCTGCGGCAGGAAGCAAGGCGGGCCGCTATTGGACGGGCTGGCTCTGGAGCAGGATCCGGCCGGGCCGGGCCTGGCGGTAAGCGTGATGAGAAAAGGGCTGAGGGAGGAGGAAGAGCTGGTAAGCGGAGGAAAGGCGGTCGTGGGTTTTTTTGTTTTTTTCCCCCGTCGTCTGTTTTCGCGACGTGACTGCGGTCTCTTTCCTGCGGAGGCTGGAGGTGAGATTTCCCCCGCGGGGCATGGGGGGGGGGCGCTGGACGGGTCTCCCTGGCGGATGACCGGAGAGCCGGGAAGACGCCGGGGCGCCCCGGGGAAGAATCGTTGTGGGAACCGAAGGAGCGCTCCTGCCGTTACGCTGGCAGCCGGGCATCCTCGGCTCGCTTCCTTGGCGACCGTCAGCGCGGGAGCGGCTGCGCGGCTTCTTCTATGCCGGGCGAAGAAGTGGAAGGGGGGGGCTGCGCGCGAGTGCGCGCGCGCGTGTATGTGTGGTCCTTGTGTATGTGTCTGTCTGTATCCTCTGACATCATCTCGGGTAGGAAGGTGCCCGAAGGCTACAAAAACGATCTTCGGCTTTGCGTGCGCCCTAGCCCGGTGTTTTTCAAACTTGGGAAAACGTGGGTGGACGTCACACTCGCGCACAGGCAGGCGGGCGGGCTGGAAAATTCTGGGAATCGAAATCCCCCGTCCCCCCCTCCTCCCGTTTTTAAAAGTTAGAAAAACACGCGATCTTTTCTGTGGGATCGCTTCCACTGCGCTTAAGAGAGTGCCTGTATGCCGCCCGAGGTTAAAGCTGCTTCAAGCCCTGCCTGGGGTTATGCCCTCTGCTGCTTCCCTCCGCTTGTTTAATAAGGAAGGAGGTTAGTAAAACGGGGGCCAAGAGTCACACAAACACAACAAGAGGGACTCCCAGTAAGGGATTCTGGGTGTGTTTTCCTAGCCAAGTGATGCAGAAAGTTAAGATTTGAAAAAAGTACCGTTAGAGCAGGGGTAGGCAACCTTGGCTCTTATGACTCGTGGACTTCAACTCCCAGAATTGCTGAGCCAGCCATGCTGGCTCAGGAATTCTGGGAGTTGAAGTCCACCAGTCATAAAAGCCAAGGTTGCTTACCCCTGCGTTAGAGGAAGAATGGGATGGGAGAGATGTTGGAATAGTTGCTTCCTTGCTAAGTGGAGGCTCTCTAGCAAAAACAGGATGGACATTTCCTAAAATTATCATCTTGGCAAAATTGGCACTCTTCTTGGCCTCTCATTTCAGCCGGGCAGGACTCACTGATGTGAGTTATCTTGATTTCTATCCTGTCCCATGATTTGGCCTTTGCTGTTTCTCTCCCCCCCTCCCCCCACTGAAACATTTAACTTTTGTGATATTTGCAAAACTCTATCAATAATGGGGAGCAACATCAAGAAAAAGAGAGGGGAAATCATAGTTGTGTTGCTACATGTAAGGGGGGGAAAATTCTTAAGTATTTTATTAAGGTAAACCCCCAGTGTAGGAAAGTGTGTGAAAGCTTTTCACTTCATAGGAATTTGTCATTTGTCAGCTTGTTGGGAAAAGGCTGATGCAAACGAAAAGTTGCTTTTCCCGGCATCTTTCTTTCTAAGGAACCCGAAAGCTCTAAGTGGGGGTGGTAGAATTGACAATTTTGATTTTATCATGTAATGACTCAAATTGATTTGTACATGTTAACCTATCATGAGTATTGCTGTTGTTAAAAGATGTGGAGCGATGTGGGGGGGGGGTATGAGTTCTGTCCTGGTTTGATTGCTTTAGTGTAAGTACAGTGCCAGTATCCCACTATATAGGGCACAGGTCGGCAACCTGCGGCTCCGGAGCCGCATGCGGCTCTTTGAGCCTTCCCCTGCGGCTCCCAGCCTCCTCTGCCTTTGCAGAGAGAGACAGAGACAGAGAGAGGAATTGTGCTTCCCTGCTTCCCTCTCTCTCTCTCTCTCTCTCTCTCTCTCTCTGTGTGTGTGTGTGGTATAAAAAAAAGAGAGTGCACTCAGCTGATGTACTATTTTGTGTTTTTTGACATACATACATACACACACACACACACACATATTTTACACACAATATAATAAAGGTAAAAAAGGATATATGCAGTGTTATCTTCATTTTAGATATCAAAATGGTTTTGCGGCTCCCAGTGTTTTGTTTTTGGTGGGAAACGGGTCCAAGTGGCTCTTTAAGTGTTTTGGGTTGCCTACCCCTGATATAGGGCATTAAGTTTGATATAGTAGCTAAGGCAACAGACTAGAAGCCACCAGGCTAGAATCCGATAGATTGTGAGTTCTAGTCCCATTTCGGCACAAAGCCAACTGGATAATTTTGGGCCAATCACTCAGCCCTAGAAAGTGGACAATGCCAAACCACTTCCAAAAATCTTGCTAAAAACACTGCTGAGACTAGTCCAGCAGTCATCAAGAGTCAAATATATACACACGCACGCTGTATAGAGCAGTGGTTCTCAACCTTTTTAATGCCGCGACCCCCAACCAGTCGTAAGTCGAGGACTACTCAACCGGTCGTAAGTCGAGGACTACTCAACTGGTGAAGCACCGTTTGCAGAATGGGACTTTTGGCGGGCTCAGCAGGGCAGAGACAGCCTAGACAATTCCTACTGGCTTTTGAAAGCCAATAGAATTAGACTCTATTCAAGAGAGTCTATTCTATTGGCTTTCAAAAGCCAATAGAATAAAAGGGAGTAGCACAGCTAAGGAAAGGGGGAAAAAGTGGCGGACTGCGTTTTTTGGCAACCCCCGTGAAATGGTCATTCAACCCCAAATGGGGTCCCGACCCACAGGTTGAGAACCACTGGTATAGAGGAATATTCTGACATGCTGGGAAAGCTTCCCAGCACTATCTGAATTTAACTTTGCCTTATTCTGGAAAACTGCTGTGGGAGGAAAAATGGGTCTTAGTAGCATACTATAATGCCCCATATTTAGATGATTGCTAATGATTCATAATTGGCTTCTCTGAGGCATAATCACACTTCCTCACTTACCTCTGTATATTGTGCAGCACCATGTAGAACATTTTTTCTCAACCATGGCAACTCCTAAGATGTGTGGGTTCCAATTCCTAGAATTCCTTAGCCAGTCATACTGACTGAGGAATTCTGAGAATTGGAGACCACACATCTAAAAGTTACCAAGGTAGAGAACATTGGTTTAGAAGAATAACTATTTAAAATAGCAGATCTTTCAAAGATGAGAGCAGGGTTTGCCATCGTTCTTAGGAAAGCACGCCCCACCACACACTTGATCTGCTGTCAAAAAACAGGAAGTAAGTCACTTCCATTGAAGTGTAGCTTTGTGTGTAGAAGTAGGCTTTCTCATTTTTATTTTGTTAATAAAAATGAATTCCTTCTCTCGTTTTTAGGATACTCAGGTCGGTTAATAGTTTATGAGAATAGAAACTGATGGACGGTGGAATATCTTTTAAACAAATGCATTTTGATTCCAAGATGGAATGATTAATAATGATTTTTTTAAAAAAATAAACATGATTAAAATTTCAAACTGAAGAAGGTGGGGGAATAACAGACCTATTAACTATGGATGCATAACAGTTCAATTAATTGTTTCTCAACACTGGCAAATTTGGCAGTTTTGAGATGTGTGGACTTCAACTTGCAGAATTCTGAGAATTGAAGTCCACAAATCTTAAAGCTGCCAAGATTGAAAAACAGTTTTAATTACTTTCACTGAATATCCTTTTTGAAAGAAGCTTTGTTAGGTTGGTTTGGGTGCCTTATGAACATGTCTTTAGTTAGTAGTGTATTTTTGGGCTATTTCAAATTCCTCAGCATTTTGACGCTACTAACCTTATTTAAGGTGATCACTTTTTATCAGTGTTTTCCTTTCTTTTTAGGCTTCTCTGATTGTTTTATATTTCCTTGAGAAATACCTAAGGTAGTTCACTACAACAAAATCAGTAGAATTCCTTTGGGGCATACCAAGCTTCAAATTAGCTATCTTTTAGCCATACAAAATCCATCTTTTTAAAAAAAATCTTGCATTTCCCAGCCATTAACTCTGCCATTGTTCTTACCTTGATTTGGGGATATTTTTAAATGAAGTATAGTTTTTCTCATTGCCAATTATTTCAAAACGCAAAGCCTTATGTATATATGCATCTGTTATTTAATGAAATAAGTAAACATTTATTCATTTGCTTTCTGTCCCAACTCACTCCCCAGAGAGGTGAGAAATGAGGTTTTGGTGGAAAAATGGAGGAGCTTCCCAATTCCTGACCCCAAAAAGGTGTTGGATCTGAATCCAGCCATGGAATGCACCCTTCTTGAAGGAACCTCTGTTGGAGATCCTTTGCCATTATCC